CTCCTTCAACTATGTAGTATGGCATGGTATATATAATGGAATGGAATGGACATGGGATTAAAGGTACAACCAAGGATGGAGTTTGAACTTAATGAATCCCCCAAAGAACATAAAGGACAACGATGTATGACATTTGATCAGCACCTTATCATTTCCAAACTTCTTCCTAAAAGCCTAGGGATGCTGGCCCTTTTCTGCATAAACGTTTGATCCCCAGGACTCACATGGTACGTTGAGTCCTGCAAAAGGCCTCTGACCTCCACACACATGCTGTGGCACACGTGCATACACACACACATGCTCAAGCGATAGTTTTTATATTTAATAGTGCATATTATTACACACACATGATCTAGTGGGCTCAGTTTTGGAACTTGGAAATCCATTACTGTAAGTTCTAGCATGGCTTTTTTGTTGTAGTAACTATTTTGCTCTATTTATTACGTAGGATTAGCTACCAATATTAAGTATCCTGTAGCTGCTGTAAATAATTTTTTCTCATTCTGACTCCCTGGTTATCTAACAGATAAAGTAAGCAAAATTTGTTTCATTGAATGACGTCTACATTGTATATCTTTCTGGATACATGTTTCTAACAGGAATGAAATATTTTTATTTTTATTGTTTTTTGAAACAGGGTTTCTCTGTGTAGTCCTGACTGGCCTGGAACTTGCTCTGTAAACCAGAGTGGCCTCAAACTCAGAGATTCACCTGCCTCTGCCTCCAGCGATCAAAGGCATGTACCACTATGCCAGGCAGAAATCTTTTTTTTAAAAATTAACTTTATTATTTATTTATGTGAGTGTTTTGCTTGTAGGTGTGTTTGTGCACCACCAGAAGCCAGCACGGGACCCCTGGACTTGGAGTTATACATGTTTGCAAGCTACTATGTGGGTGCTGGGGATTGAACCTGGGTCCTCTGCAAATGCAGCCAATGTTCTTAACCACTGAGTCATCTCCTCAGCCCCAGGAATGAAATCTTTAAAAAAAATTACTTTAAAAATATTTATTTTTAATTATGTGTATGTGTGTCTGTATGTGTCATGGTGTATGTGTGACAATCAGGACAAACTGTAGGAGTTAGTTCTCTCTTTTTTTTTTTTTTTTTTTTTTTTTTTTTTGGTTTTTTCGAGACAGGGTTTCTCTGTGTAGCTTTGCGCCTTTCCTGGAGCTCACTTGGTAGCCCAGGCTGGCCTCGAACTCACAAAGATCCGCCTGCCTCTGCCTCCCAAGTGCTGGGATTAAAGGCGTGCGCCACCACGCCCGGCTAGTTCTCTCTTTTTTTAAATAAACTTGCTCATTTGTACTTTATGCTCATTGGTGTTTTGCCTGCATGTATATCTGTGTGAGAGTGTCAGATCCCCTGGAATAGGAAAGTTGTGAGCTGCCAGGTGGGTGCTGGGAATTGAACCCGGGTCCTTTAGTAGGACCTCAAGGCTCTTAACCTCGGAGCCATCTCTCAGGTCCTAAGTTGGTTCTCTTCTTTCACCATGTGTGTCCTGCTTCGCAGCAAGTACCTTTACCCACTGAGCCTTCTTGGTCAGTCCAAGAAATGAAATCTTTTTTTTGGGGGTGGTGGTGGTGGTGGTGTTTTTCTCTGTGTAGTCATGGCTGTCCTGGAGCTCTCTCCGTAAACCAGGCTGGCCTCGAACTCACAGAGCTCCACCTATCTTTGTCTCACGAGTGCTGGGATAAATTATTATTCTTAATCATGAGCTTATACAGCAGAAAAAAGTTGCTGATGTTCATTAGGTCCCCCCCCCTTTTTTTTAAAGCCTGGATCTTGCTAGGTCACTTAAGCTAACAGTTTGTGTTCATTTGTCACACTTCTTTAAGAACTTGTACAGGCCACAGCTAATGTTCTGTGCGTTTTCTCAAATGAAGTGTCATACTGGCCATCTTGTTTCAAACAGTAACTTTCCAGAAAATAAAAGGAAGCCAGCCACGAAGTAAGTATTTTAGCAAAGACATTTCTCTTCATGTGTTTGCAGATACGGCCTCTGAAATAGAGTTACCTGTGAGAGTCCCTGAAGGAATACATTTCAAAACCTCATCTTTGAAAGGGAATGAGGAAGATGCAGAGTCACGGGCGGCCTCTGAAGGGCCTGCTGTGGCAGAAACCGACAGGTCTGTGGGAGGGGCCCTGCTCGGTAGTCAGCTGGTCTCTCAAAAAGGTAAGAAATGGTTACCTGTTCCAGTTCATCAGCTGAAGAAGAAATTAGATTCAGAAATTATATATCAAGTGGTGATATGTTTGTTTTTTTTTCTAAAACAACAGAGCAAGATGCAGAGTTTCAGATTCTGAAGTATTTCTTTCAAATCGATGTCTATGGCTTCATGAATTCTGCTTTTTCACCATCTGAAATTTTTATAGAAAGGGTGAGTCAGATTTGAAATTTTAATTTATATTTCTTTAGTGTTTTGTGTGTGTGTGTGTGCGTGCGCGTGCACACCATGATACACATGTGGAGGTCAGAGGACAGTTAGGGGGAGTCAGTTCTCTCTTTCCACCATGTGGGTCTTGGGGATCAAACCCATTAGTCTTGGCAGCAAGCGCCTTTACCAGATGAGCCATCTCACCCACTCCATGGATTTTTAAATCTTTTACAATTTTTTTTTTTTTTTTACCCAATATAGGAACGACTTACAGACTTGAGTGACTCTTCCCTCTACCTACCTCACAGTGCTTCTCTTTCCATGAAATCTTATGTGTGAGTTCTCCTTAGAGAAAGGTTCTGTTAATAAATGTTGTTAGGAGTATTTTTTTTTTTTTCCTGAGGCAAGGTTTCTCTGTGTATCCCTGGCTGTCTTGGAACTCAATCTACTGACCAGGCTGCCTCTGAACTCAGAGATCTGCCTGCTTCTGCCTCGTGAGTGCTGGGATTAAAGGCACGCGCCACCACCGCCCAGCAGGAATTTTTTTTTTTTTTAAAAAAAAAAGATTGCGAATAATGATTTTCTGCCTTTTTTTTTTTTTGGTAAAATTATACTAAATGAGTCAATTAGAAATAGTATGAGTTAAAGAGTCTTGAGCAACTTGTTAGTACCAAATGACAGTTATGATCTTGAAGAGGTATAATAGGAATATAAAACCAACCGGTACTGTAATACTTAACTACTGTAGCAAAAATTCCAAATTCTGTTCACATTCTCACTTGTTGCTAACCTGATTATCAGCAGGATGTGGTATCCTACATCTGCAAGAGCGCAGCATTTGAGAAGCAGAGGCAAGAGGATTGTGAGCTGGAGTTCAGCTTAGGCTACAAAGTGAAACCCCATCTCAAAAAGGGGATGGGGCCCTGGAGGGACAGCTCAGTGGTTAAGAGCACTTGCTGCTCTTGCAGAGGACCAGGGTTCAGTTCCTGGCACCCACATGTCAGGTTACAACCATCTCTAACTCCAGTTGCAGAGCACCCCTCACCCTCTTCTGGACACCAGGGCACTAGGCACACACATGTTGCACATACATACATGCAGGCAAAATTCTCAGACACATAAAATAAAGATAAATACATCTTTAAAAACTTATTACTAAATGAGATATAGCCTTGCAACAGGGCCTCACTTTAGTACTTAGCACAAAAGAAAACTTCTGCATCTGGGCGGTGGTGGTGCACGCCTTTAATCCCAGCACTTGGCAGGCAGAGGTGGGTGGATCTCTGAGTTCAAGGCCAGCCTGGTTTACAGAGTGAGTTCCAGGACAGCCAGGTGTTGTTGGGATTTTTTGTTCTTTTTTGGGGACCTGCCAGCCAACTCCCAAATAAATTCATACATGGAGGCTTATTTTTAATTATGAATTCCCTGCCTTAGCTTGGCTTAGTTTCTTGCCGGCTTTCCTTAACTTATTCTGTCTACCTTTTGCCTTTCGGCTTTTCCCATTCTCTTACTTCTGTAAATTTTACTCTTTCTCGGTGGCTTGCTGTGTAGCTGGCTGGCTGGCCCCTGGGGTCCTCCTCCTTCTCTGGCTCCTAGATCTCAGATCTCAGGTCCCTCCTCCCAGCTCTCTCTGCCTGCCAGCCCCACCTATCCTTTCTCTTGCCTTGCTATTGGCCAGTTCTTTATTAGACCATCGGGTGTTTTACAAAGGCACAGTAACACAGCTTCACAGAGCTAAACAAATGCAACATAAGCAAAAGTAACACACCTTAAAATAATCTTCTGCTGCAGCCAGGGCTCCATAGAGAATACCAAACAAAAAGAATATCCTCCACTAAAAATTATACCAGAGAAATTAAGAAGTTGAAAAAATAATTTACCAGTCAGAACATGATATTTGAGTCTCTATAAAATATTTATTTAATGAAACCCACTAAGTATGCTTACTTTTGTGGGCTTAGTAAATATAGTCAAATAGATTTTCCTTAACTGTCTTAGTTGAAATTCCTTAGACATGAAAATATTGAATTTAAGTTTATTTTAATTATCTTGTGGTCTTGGAAAGTTACATCTTTGCAGAAGGCATCTTAGTATTAAACCTTCAGTGTTAGAGGCTGAGACTAGCTAACAGGCTCCTGTGAGGTAGACTTTTACATTTTTTTTAAAAAAAAATCATTGTCGGTGTGTGGAGGTGGTGGCACACTCCATTAATCCCAGCACTCTAGAGGAAGAGGCAGGTGGATCTCTGAGAGTCTGAGACCAGCCTGGTGTACAAAGGGAGTTCCAGGGTAGCCAGAGCTGTTATACAGAGAAACCCTATCTCAAAAAAAAAAAAAAAACAAAAACAAAAAAACAAAAAAAACCCCAAAAAACAAAATCACTGTGGGCTGGTGATGCAGCTCTGTGGAGGAGAGAACTTATTGAAAACTGTAACAAAAAACAAACAAATACACACACACACACGTCAATTGTCAATATTTAAAGCATGAGTTCATTTACCAATTCCGTATTCTCTTGAACAGCTACAAGATTGCAGGAGAAAAGTCTCTAGTCTGGTAACCAGAGGCTCAGGCTGCTACCGCTGACGAATGCAGACGTGTAACTGTACAGTTGCTTGCGTGTATCCCAACTGCTTGGCTTCTCTGGGGCCCGCAGCCCACAATCATTGGATTAGATGTTCTGAAGAGTCTCTAACAGACCTGAGCCTAGCAATCTGGCACAGCTTTGAGACACCCATAATGCTGATCTGAAAAGCTCCTGCAAACAAAAAACTGGAGCAATTTCCCGGTTAATTTCGAATGAAATTTTTCTTGCCTAGTTGAGGCGACTATTTCAATTAATCAGTATTTCAGGTAGATTATGTGTAGACGTACCTTCCCTGTATCACTCAAGTAATAGCAGTCAACACAACTTTTTATCAACTTTATCCTATGGCTGAGGAACCTCTTGACGTTCTAACATCCATCTACTCCCTAGAATACTTCATTTACAGGTGTCATAAACCAGGAAATGCCCACTCCTGTTGAACAGGAAGCTCCAAGTTCGATATATCCCGAGAACAACTCTTACATCACAGATACAGAGAACAGCAATGTGGCACACCGGTGCTGATTTCCTTTCAAAAGAGGAGTGCTTCTCTGTGTGTCACTGAACTAAGTGGGAGTAGCTTGTCCTTACAGCTTTGACATAGGGCCGTCCTGAGGGTCTAGGATGTGGACTAGGTTTTCCAGTTAGCGATGTCTAGGGTCAGTGGGTGCTTTCTCGTAGCTGTTATGAGCACTAATAACATTTGCTGTCCGTTTCCTTGAAAGCAGGTCCTTCATAAGATAATAAAATCTCATGTCCACTTATGGAGAACCTTCTTTGAATATCTGTCATCTGGTAGAAATCATGTATTCTATGTGAGTAGACTATAGGATAAAATCTTTAGTGTTTCAGTTTTCAGTTGTGGATTTTAATGTGTGATATGTATAATATTTAAGAAAATACCTATATATAGGCATAAATATGTGTGCACACATATATTTCCTAAGTTATGAGGTCCATGAAAGTGGATTATGGGTTGGTAGTCACAGCTCCACCTACAGCACCCCTTTGTCTCAGTGTCAAAACAGGATCACACTCTGTGTGGAAACACCAGTCCAGGTATTAAAATCTGGAATCTTTCTCAAGGATATGAAGTGTTCAGGAGAGCTTTACTTGTATGTTAGGGTATTTTAACATGAACTCCCTAAGACATGGAACAGGAAGGTCTGGGTGAAGAGGTAAGTGTCTCCGTGACTGTAATGCATTCAGAAAGTTAGATTAAGAATTTTGTACTGACTGTTAAGTTTACTATTTTTTGCTATGGAGAAATTTTTGCTATAGGTATGCTTGGGTTTTTTTGCTTTCTAAAATTTCACTTGTCTCATTTCTGCTTTTAGCATGTGGGATGGTAACTGTTGCAGATTGGAAAGAGGCACAGATGAACACAGGGGAGATCGGTCGAGCAAAGCAAATTTTTTTCTTTCCTATTTACAAATCCTAATATCCCCAAAAGATTTCTGGAGCCCATTAAAGGTGGGCTCTGACTCACTGAAGAATTTTCATTTGAGTAATGCAGTGTTTAAATCAAAGCTTAAGCATCTTTGAAATTCTAAAGATAAAATGTCAAGCACAGTTCTGACGTTAATATTCACCTAAGTTAGTTTCAACGCACTCCAACGCGTAGGAAAGTTGTGCACTACCTTAAAACTGGAGTATTGAGCAACTTCGGCTGTCTCCGATAGCAGCAGTTTCTGAAACTCCCTAGGGTGATGTGGCAAAGAACAGTTCGAGTTTCGACAAAGTAGGCCTCAGTTTGGTCTTAAGTCGCTGGCTGTAAAGGAACCGTGGGTGTTTCTGATTTTGAGTGTGAGTGCTTGTGGCACGAAAGTGATGTTTTCACTCGGAGTTTTTATTACAGGGATTTACAAAGGGTTTATGATTTTGTTTATTAAGTTCTCTTGGGCGGCTGCTCCTTTCCGAATTGCTCCACTGAAGGACGCGTTCGTTTGGATAAGACGAGGGTGTTGGGAAAGAAGACATACATTAGAGACAGGTTATCTTTTAAACCGTATGTTTAAAATCGTCTCTCCCAGCCCTTCATGCAACGGCTCCAAAAATAGAGCCCTAAATTTAGAGGGCAAGCGGCTACATTTAGTTCTTTTTCTCAGTGGGCGCCGCGTGCCGGGCAGACGTCCACTTAGGCGCTCAATGGAGTTGAAAGCTGGGGTGCGTGGCTAGGGGCGGCCAGGCGGACTCAGGTGAGCGATCCCCGAACGCTGGGCGGGGGAGGACCGAAGCGTGCGTGCACCGGAGGGGAGTTCAACTGACCAGTGCACACCGTTGACGCGGCCGCCTTCGCGTCCAGAGTTCGAAGTTCTGACCGGCAGGCAGGCAGGGCGCGCGGGTGGATGATGGCCGAGGCCGACCTCTCCGTGCTCCAAGGGGGGGTCGCCGGGGATACGAACGGCAGTGCGGGGTTCGGCCTCGGGGAGAGGACGCGGACGCGCCGAGCTCTCGGACGCGGGGCCTCGTCCTTCTTCCTTTCTTTCTTGTTTAGTTTTAAATGCTTGACTTGGTTTAGGCTTTTTTAATTTAAAGAAGTTTTTCCTTTTCTATACCAACTCCTGTCCCCCCTCTTTCTCCTGCCCCTGCTCTATCCCGCTCCCCCTACTCCCCCCACTCTTCACAGCGCCTCCCTGGGCATTACCCCCGCAGCCTCGCTGCTCCAGCTCTCCGTGCTCCCGCTCCCCGAGCTCCCGCTCCCCGTGCTCCCGCTCCCCGTGCTCCGGGGCTGAAGGCCTGGCAGAGGCTCGTGGGCCCTTTAAGCGCAGTAGAGGGGGCGTCTCCGCCTCGCCGGCGAGACCAAGGCCGGGGGTATAGGCGGGCTCCCCCCGCCGGGCCGCAGTGGTGCGCGCCGCCTGCCGGCGCCTTCGCCTTCCCTG